CAGGCTGCGCCAGCGCTGAGCAGTCACCCGGGAGCCCAGGATGTCTGCCCCCTGGTGCTATGTGGAAGAAACTGTTGAGGACCTCTGCTCTGTATCTCTCAATCCCAGAGAATAGCCTCTGCTCCTCGGGGAGAAGACAAAAGCCCTGCGGTTGACTTGCACCCAGCAGGCAGCCTGCAGAGCGGAGCCCCAGCCCCGTCCTCCACACCAGCCTCTCCACTGCCCCACGGCCTCCAGTAAGAGGCGACCGGGCTGCGGCCTGGCGCACGTGGGTCTCCGGTGAGCCTTGGGGGCTTTCTGGGTCTGCTTTCCCTGTGGCTGCGCAGGCTGCTCTGCTGTTTGGCGGGTGCTGTCTGCTCAAGTGTCTGCCGCGTGAGGTGGGCAGGCCCCAGGGGAATGGGCAGACAGCAGCGCCCGCTGGCCAGGACAGCCCTCGCCAGCCCCTACCCCAGGCCCGGTGCTCAGCGGCTTCAGCCTCCACACTAGCCAGAGTCAGCCGGAGGAGTCTGGCTGTGGGCACTCTACGCAAGGTGCTTAGCAACAGGCCCGGTTCAGCCAGGTGCCACCTGCCTCCCGCCACCTCCTGGGCTCTGGCAGAAATGTCTCCAGGCATCCAGATGCCTCAGAGCGGCAAACCCTCCCCACAGACCACCATTCCACTAAGGGCCAGATCCTGTCTCTGCCCCAGGCCCAGGGGGCAGGAGCTACCTGGGCAGGGCAGCAGCACAGACCCCAGGAGGCTGAGCCAGTCCTCAGAGCCCTGGGTGTGCAGCCCGGCTACACCAGGAGGCCACACCCTCCTGTTCCCACTCTGAATTCCACCCTCCTTAACAACAGGGTGATGATAACCCTCCCAGTGCAAGAACCAGGCAGGGACCTGCTAATAGGAGGTGCTTCAAGCCTCATCAGGTCACGGTGGGCAGAGGCAGCGACCAGGGAGCGGGGTCCAGGCTGCCTGGGCTCTCATTGGCACCTGGCTGTGTGACCTGAGTCGGTCACTCTCCCTCTCTGCTGCAGCCTCCTCACTTGTAGGACAGGATGGCCTCTTGAGATGACAAGCACAGCACTTGGGACAGGTCTGGGATGTGTGGCATTGTTTTTCATCTGGGGTCTCTTGGGTTTGACTGAAGCCCCTCTTGCATGAAGGTGGGGTTTGGAGGTGGCTCGGGGCTCGGACCAGATGGCGTGTTGGGCCGAGTGTAGACAGCTTTGAAGGTGGCCGGGAGGTAGAAGCGACCCAGCTGTCTCTCAGGGGGTGAGTGGGTGAGTAAAGTGTGGCGCAGCCACGCAGCGGACCAGGAAAAGTCACACGAGCCACAGGGGGCATGGGGACCCTGGACGTTCCTGCGGCAGAGAGGCGGGGACAGAGACTACACCGTCCAGGGGGGGCAGAAGCAGGAAGGGGGCAGGGCCAGGCAGGAGGGTGCAGGAGAGGGGAGGCAGAGGAGGGCGCTCTGAAGTGGAAGGACAGCGGCTGCGTGACACCAAATTTACCAGGCCACGGAATTGTCCCTTTAAAGAGGGTAAAGTGTGAGTTTTATGCTTTGTGCCCGAATCAGGATTTTCAGTTTGAAAGAGGACACGTGACTCTACTTAGCAGTGATTTGCAGGGAACGGTGTCGTGAAATGGTCAGAGCCTGCCTTCAGGAGACCGAGTCTCCTTGAGAGTGGAGGGGGTGGCAGACCAGCCTCCTACCCACCCCACAAGGGGCTGTGCCACCCGGGTCCGGCTGCTGGACCTCTCTGTGCCTGACAGTGTGGGTAAACACTGCCTGCCTGGGGAAGAAACAGACCTGGCTCCTAGGTAGCCCTCAGTTTCAGGGTGACCACCAGCCTCTGCAGACCTCGTCCCGGGAGGTCCCTCAGATAAGGTGCCCACCTTTCGGAAGGTGAAAGCCATATGGTCATTTTTCCAGTCCCTGGGCTAAGAGACTTCTCTGCCAGAGATGAGAAGGTGGACACAGCAGCAGAGGGAGAGTCGGGAACTTACGTTTCAGTACTGTGGAGCCGCGAGCCGCAGGGAGGGAGGGTCCGGCCAGGTCGGCGAAGTGCAGAGCAGAGAGGAGAAGAGAGTCAGAGACCCTCCTGTCTCACCCCGCACCTCAGAGGGCTGGAGGCCTTGCTGGGTGCAGCCCGGCCCCCCAGGAGAGAGTTCCCGGGTGCCCTGCTCCCCTGCGGGCTCCTCCTGAAGAGATTAGGGAGCCCCGGAGCCTTGGGTCCCCTGTTCTCCCCGGGTCCCTGCTGGGGCAGGTGGGGAAGCCCGTGGAGGGCACCCGCTCCTCTGTTCCCTAGAAATAGATGGATGCTGGTTCTCCTTCTGTGTTTGCAATCTGGGGCGACGGGCCTGGGCCTCTGGGAGCTCGGGAACTGGACGCTGCAGGACACACTCAGGGCTCTCCTCCCAGCTCTGGGTCCGGGACACCGGAGTTCTTCCCTCCTTCCTTCCTCCCGGGACCCAAGCACATCCAGGTAGGAAAGGAAAACCACTCACTCTTCACTGCAGGGACCGACCGCCACCAGAAGACACATGGAAGAGAGAGAGAGAGAGAGAGAGAGAGAGCAGAATGAGAACCGGCGCCCGGCCGCTCCTCCTGCACCACACACATTCTGCTGCTCTGAACTTCCCCGAGGCTCCCTTAAAGCTCCGCTGGGTGGAGGACAGGCCAGAGGGAGCCCGGGGCAGACAGAGGCCCTCCAGGCCAGGCACAGGGGCACCTGGAGCTGTCTCCTGCGGGTGCCTGAGCGCCTTGAGCGCCCTCACCAACACCTGAAATCCGGAGAGCTGCGGCTGGGCCTCCTGAGCGCCAGCACCATGCTCAGGCAGTTTGGGATTTGAGGTTTGGGGTTGGGGATGTTCAACTGGTAAAGTTTAAACAGAGTCCAAAATCTGAAAAAAAACAATTTTTTTTTTCAGATGTGGAATGCTTCTGGCCCCGAGTGTTCCAGCTGCGGGATTCTCACCCTGAATCCTGTGGGAGGAAGGCAGAACTCAGGATCAGCCAGGCAGAACCGCCAAGGTGCTTGTCGTCCTGACCAGGGACGTGTGCAGGGCCCACCAAGTGCAGTGTCCCCCTTGAGCCAGGTCTTGGCCTTGCCTGGGGCCTGTCCTCGAGGCTGCCCCGATGTCCCTGGTGGAGCTGGCCTGCAGCTGCTCCACTGACCAAGGACTGTTTGTCAGATGAACCCCTCGGGCTCTTATTGTGCCTCAGTGCACCTTTAAACATTCAGAGCATGCTCTGGGGACACTGGAAAACTGTACAGAGGCGTCCTGTTCCCCCAGCCTCCCCGAAGAGTGGCACCGATGGAGCCCCGTCCCTCAGACCTGAGCTGGGATCCCAGAACCTCACCCCAAACAAAGGCCTGAGGACCTCGCTCTAGCTCAGAGATGAGCGGACTTCTGTAACGGCCTGTGCACTCAGGCAGGAACCTGGCTTTGGGAAAAGTTTTGGGGTGATCAGCTGGTTTGGGGGGCCCCATGCTTTATGACTGGGCTCCATCTGATTGGAGCTGTGGTGAGATTTCAGGGGGAACGGGGCTCGGGCTCTGCTGTCAGCCTTGCTCCGCTGAATGAGCCCCCAGGTCACCTCTTCTCCTTCCAGAGAGCGCCTTCCCCCCGGGAGCCATTCTCAACAAATGGCTTGCACACAACGGCCATGGCCATCAGATCAGGGGACTGGGCCATCTAAGCCCGCAGCGACTTGGAACCAGCCATGGCAAACGGCCACCGCTCTATCTCAGGGCGCCTCCCCTGCATCCCGCAGAGCTGGCCGGGTGCTGAGTGGCAGACCACAGTGATCACTCTCCTGCCCCCAACCAAGGCCCAATGCCAGGGCCTGCACCAGGCCTCCCCCAATTTTTCAAAGGGGTCTCAAGGCCCAGAGGGTGTGAGAATCCAGTTGGGGGAGCACCACTGTCCCGGGACTTACTTTCTTCTTCTGTCCTATCTGAGGCAGGAAGGCAGGCAGCCGGGTTCCAGGGGGGATGCAGAGCAGAGAGAGAAACAGGCGTTAGGACTCAGGCCCTGGACTGGCTGACAAGTCCCGACCCCTCGGAGACCAGGGCTGGAGACGCCAGCGAGCCCCAGGGCTGACGGTGCCGGTGCAGACAGATGCCCTGCTGGAGTCTGGCTTCCTCCAAGACCATGGGGCATCCGCCCCGTGCAGACAGGACAAGGTGAGGCACAGGGCAGCCAGGGCCATGGGCACAGGCCCGGGGTGCAGTCTCCTCCGAGGCGCAGGTGACAGAGGTGTTGTGAAGTGGGGGACAGGTCAGGGGGAGCTGTGGGCCGACCTCGGGGCTGAGGACCTGTGGGTGCCGGTGCTGACCTTGTGGGGGAGCCAGGGGAAGCATCTTGGAGGGGTTGATGTGTCTGAGACCTGAAAGATGAGCAGGGGTTAGTGGGGCGAAAGGATTTGGGAGGAGAAGGAGCAAAAGGTCCAGGACAGAGGGCCGTCGTGTGGGCACGGTCCTGCTGGGAAGGAGTCCAGAGTCTGAAGGATGGAAAAGGACCTGGGATTCAGCTGAGTGCCACGGACAGGCGGGCGTCTCAGGGAGTCCCTCCTGGGAGCAGGGGTCTCTGAGCATGTGCCCTGAGCTGGGTCTGGCCCTGCTGCTTGCTAGCTGGTGAGCGCCAGCCGCTGAACTCCTGGTCTCATCGCCAGCGCAGATCATCAGGGGAGACCGACCGTCCTGGTTCGCCCAGGATTGACAGGTTCCTAGGACGTGAGGTCTTCAGTACTGAAACTGGAAGTCCCAGAAACGAGGCCAAGCTGGCGGGTCCAGGTTCCAATGGCGTCTGCCCTCTTAGGTGCTGCAGAGACTGCATTTGAAGAACGAGCATCCACAGGCTCCTTCAGGGCGCTCCATGAATGCTTTCTAGTTGCTACTTTGTCTCTGATGCTCTGCTTCTTCCCAGGCCTCGGATTCCCCTCCTGTAAGTGAGGCCAAGGAACCCCAGCCCCAGGAGGGCTCCGGCTCAGCTCCAGGCTGGTTCTGCTGACCTCTGCGGGGTACTAAGAGGATGCTGCTCTTCTACCGGGGTTCCTCCTGGGGTGCCTGGCAATGGCTGCGTTAGATTGAGCTTTGCTCCGCAGTAGGCGTTTTGCGTGTGGATGAGAACATGCTGCTGTTGGTGAGGTGCACTGCCGTCCACAGGTGGCTCAGGGGCACAGAGGCTGCCGTCATGGCTGGGGGGCCTGTGGGGGTGGCTTGGAGGGTCTGCGGCTGCACAGGCGGGCAGGGGGAGACAGGAGGAGAGCAGGGGTGAGCTGGCCCCGGGGCACCATCTGGGGGAGTCAGCCCCTCCCGAGGCTTGGATCCTCACCGAGCTCCTCCACTGCAGGTGTGCACACCTGTCGGGGAGCAGAGGGGGCACCTTCTACTCCTCTGCAGAGACAGCAAGCCGAGCTGTCTTGGCCCCAGGGTGGGAGAACCAAGAGCCACTGGCTTTGAGGAGCAGCGGAGCCACAGGAGCAGAGAGGGGACGCCGTCCTCTGACATTTCATGGTCCTGTGTGCCCACCTGTACAGCGAGCACTGCCACTCTGCTGTGCAGGGGCCAAGGCAGGTCCTCCTGGCTGGGCTGCTAGTGGACGAGGGCGCTGGGCCAAGACTCCAGGTGTGCGAAGGACCCACAGGAGGTGCCTGGTGATGGCCGAAGACCGACAAGTCTCCTGGTGATGGGTGCACACTCCGAGCATCTTGCAGCAAAAGCCGAGCCTCTTCGGAGCCCACTGGTCTTGAGCCCCTGGCGCTGGCTGACCTCGCTGCCCGGGAGAATCTGCAGCAGAGAGCGGCGTCCAGGTAGCAGCGCTCGGCTCTCACCTGCTTAGCCTGCGTTGTCTTCTCACGGCCTGGGGTTGTTGCTGTCCACTTACTCAAACGAGGCAAAGTTTCCTTTTCAAAGATGAGAACCGAGGGCCAAGAAAACCAGGGCTCAGTGCACTGGGAGAGCTCGTGGGGCCGACTGTCTTCAGCCCCACATGTTGGAAAGTGAGAAGTTAGGTGTCACCCTGGGCTGCCGAGCGGGCGTGAGCGGCGCTCCTCCAGGCTGTGTGTGGGGTGCGGGTCTGTGCACCTTGTCCAGGCTCGACCTGCACGCGCCCCTGCTTGTCCCGTTCCCCTTTGAGGGACTGAACAGAACTGAGCTTGCAAAGCACGGGAAGCCTTGCGATGCTCGGTGCAGCAGTAAAAACAGGACGAAACTGACCAGAGGGCCCTTCCTCAGGTGTGACCGCATGGCCAGGCGTGGGAGAGAAGAGGGAAGACGCACTACCATTTCTAACTTGCAGAGCAAAGCTCCCGTGTGGGGCTTTTGTAAGAACACAAAGGACACGGGTGACCGTGCTGCCGCTGGTCCTCAGAACTGGGCAGGAGACAAAGCGGATGGCCTGGCTCTTCCTTTACGTTCCCTGGACTTTCCCATGTGCATATCCCATTTCTAAAACTCAGGGAAAGCCGAAGGATGGTGCTCACAGACTTGGGCTGTGCCTCCTGAGGCAAGGAAGGGGCCAGTTCACAACCTGCAGCCCGTACAGTCCAGAGCCCCGGGCCCAGGGAGTGTAGCACTGTGGAGGGAGGGAGAAGGGCCAGGGCCAGCGGGGGACCCCCACTCACCATCCGGGGACAGCCTGCTCATCAGACCTGAGGGAGGAGAGAGGAGGGTCATGAGCACACGCAGGGGAGAGGCCCACAGGGAGAGGCCCGCAGGGGAGAGGCCCAGGGGGAGGCCTGCAGGGGAGAGGCCTGCAGAGGAGAGGCCCAGGGGGAGGCCC